AGTTTTTCCAGAATTTTTGAAAATTGTGACAACAGAGAAATCGGTCTATAATTTGTGAGGTTGTGCTTATCACCAGATTTATACAGAGGAATAACCTTTGCTATTTTCATATTATTGGGGAACTGCCCAAGTCGAAACGACATATTAAAAATATGGGTTAATGGTTTACATATCCCCTCAATTACCCACTTGACAGTTGTCATGGTGATACCATCACTATCACTGGATGTTTTGTTACCACATTTATTCACTATCTCTATAATTTCCTTTTCAACTATGGGCTTCAAAAACATAGAACTCATGTTCCTTTCAATTGTATTATTATTTATAGTGACGGATGTATCATCAGTACAAATGCTTCTTCCTAACCATGATGATGATGGGACCCCAAGAATAGGATTCTCTCCTTAATATGTAAAAATTGGTGAGGCCTTATCAGGGGTTGATCTGACCAAAACTGAAGTTTAATTAGTGTAAAAAGCTATTATTGGGAGGAAGGCTGGTGCCGAAAGTGCTAAAATATTCTCTCACCTTGTCCTGAAATAAAGCGTGAAATTCAAAGACGTAGGAGACATTGTTTTGCTGTATTGTGTTATATAAATTACCCATTATCATTTCAGCCCTCCACTGACTCTTCTTTTTCCTCACAGATTGGCACAGAGTGGGATCCAAAGGAAAGGATCTTCCGTAACTTTGGTGGGTTGATGGGCCCTTTGGATGAACCCCTGGCTGTCCAGAAGTGGGCCCGTGGTCCCAACCTCACAGCCACTATTGTGTGGATTGACCCAGCTTTAGTGGTAGCAGCATCTTATGACATTACAGTGGATGCAGATGCAGAGTACACTCAGTATAACCCGCCGCTGCAGCGCCCCCTGCGGCCCGGGGCCTGGACTGTACGGGTATTAAAGCAATGGCAGCGAGTTGCAGAAGTTCGTTTTCTTGTCATGCCATTAACCTTCAAAGACAAGGAGCCACTACGTAAAGGTGAGATGTGGAATCTACTCTGCCACTTTAAAGACAACACTGGTGATAATGTAACAAAACCCATGAGAAGACCAAAACTAATGTGACAGTCCGTCTCTCAGTACTTTGACTTTTCTTCCCTGGTACCTGCTAAAGATGTAAATCTTTAAACACAAGTTACAAAAGGCTCAAATTACTGAAACAGTATTTTCACAGATTGGTGTTAAAGAAAGAAAACATGCTGTATTTGTGTCAGACGCAGCATTAACTGAAGGTTCAAAGTTGAATATGTGTTAACTCTTCTGCAAATTTCCTCATTTCATTTTCTATTTTTCTGCAAATGTCAATGTCCTCTCCAGAAGAGGACCGCTTGCTCCATGCAGGACCCCCAGGGAACCTATACCTGGAGCAGAGCTTCCAGCAGCTGAGTGCCGTTCTGAAGCTGCCTTCCCAGGAGTCCGCCATGCGGGAGGCCCAGCGTAATGCCCAGCTCATGGGTAAGTCCCTTGAAGCGTGGGTGGACAGTAGCATGGGGACCTTCTGGGTTACTGGCAATGTGTGCGCCCAGCAGACTTCCTCTTGCCCAGCATTGGGACTTTGCTTCAAAACCTCCTGGAGCTCCTTATCTCCAGATCCCAAATCTGAACTGGGCCCAGTTAAAAGTGATGGGCGGATCAGGTAGCCCCAAGAGAGGAGAACCTGCAGACTTCAATACATACACAGGAAGACTCTGGGAGAGCTGGACCTGCACTGGAGATCTCCCAGAGAACCTGTGTGAGCCAGATCTTATCTCCAAGGTCAGCTCAGAGCTCAAGGGTACATAAACAACAAGGCATCTTCCTGCACTAAGGAGTCGAGACACTCTTGGAGGAGTGGAAATACAGACCTGAAAGAAGAGGTTACGACTACTGGAAATTTGCACTTACAAGATTACAATTGCAAAGTCTTGTGTTGCTGTTCACTGAACCGATACATGGGTGCAAGACGTATGGCACAGGCTTTCAGTCGGGGTCTGTCTGGATCAGGGTTTGAACAGAACCTTCTGCAGATGTTTGAACTCGGCACAGTTTTCTTTTCTGCCTTGAAAGAATTAGAAATTTTGTCAGAAGTCAACAACAGGCTCCTCGCTGTGTTCTGTCTTCATTTCAAGGGAGAGCAGAACCTATGGATCATATTATTGTGCTTATTTTGAAGCATTTTTACATAATCACAAGGAGCAGACAAATGTTTTGCACTTTACTATAAGATTGTGATGTTACACAGAAGTCACTCAGTTACAGTGTGAGGAGTAGAAGTAAAGAAGTCATGAATAAGGTCACATCATTTGTTTTTATTATGCACTAGGCTCTGAGACAGGTACGTAACTGCACTGTCACTCCTTGTTACACAGACACATCAGTAAATACTTGGACTGTAATCTGCGTTCGTACAAAGGGTGGGGTGTTTAGGTTTAGAGACTTATGTTTGGTGCAGCATATCATTTCAAAAACATGTAATATTTTTTGTATGCTTTGTCCATTAGTTTCCTTTAACTATTTATCCGTTCAGAATAGTGTTCCTGGTCAGAGGAAGTGCCTAGACAGCTGCAGACAGTGCGGCTGCATTCAGAACTCCTCAGAAATGGCTGAAGTCCATGCGCGGTTTAAATGTGCTGTTGTCAGAAGTTCCAGAACAAACAAGAGGACCCCGACTTGCTGCTGTCGAAATCCTGACGGTGCTGCAACGATTCCTCAGTTAACCGACCAGTCGGTCGATTAAAACAATCAGCTGCTCTTTGGGGAATCAAATAATAAGTTAGTACATTTTTCAAGAAAAAGCAAAACATTTACTGATCTCGTATATGAAATTGTTGCTCTTCTCGATCTTACTATAGATTCAATATTTGAGTTTTTGGACTGTTAGTTGGACAAAATATGACATTTGATGATGTCACCTTGGACTCCAGGATGTGGTGAAGGGTGCTTTTCACCATTTTCTGGTACTTTATTGAAACCAGCAAGTCATTGGTTAATCATTTCAATAAACCTCAGATTAATTGATAATAAAAATAACCATTGGTTGCAGCCCTAAAATAATTTGTCACTCAGTGGCCAGTTTAGCAAGATGAGGAAAATTTTGATGAAACTTGGGGGAAAATTTTGGGAAACATGCTTTTTCACATTCTTACTTGAGAGTTTGTTCAAGTACAAAGCTTGATAGCGCACACATGAGCTAAATATGAAGCTACAGCCACCAGCGGGCTAACTTCTAGCTAGCCTGGTTCTGTACAGAGGGAACCAGGGGTTTGGCTTTCTCTGTTGAGACCAGTAATATCAAGACCTGCAGGTTGCTTAGCAACAGGTCTTGATCATGTAGCCCAGCACTAGTGATTTTTAGACGTGTCCTGGTGGATTTTGTTGGTTTCCTGCCGTTTCCACCCGTTTCGCTGTGCTAAGCTAAGCTAACTAGCTGCTGACTGTAGTTTCATAATAACTGTTCCAGTAGGAACCAATCTTTTCATCAAGATGACAAAAGCAAGACTTTCAAACTCTAAACGTGGTTAGATATCAAGTTAGTTGGTCAACAGCAGACGTTATGTTTAGGTTTGGGTAAGTCAAGCTGCCTTTACTTAGAAAATTTAATCGTTTACTATGGGACTGTCGCTTCCACAGATGTGCAATTCATGCCTTTTCAGAGGATAGTGACCCCTCTTCTTTCTTAGATTGTGTTTTTACCTAGTGTTATGTGACCTTTTGTTATGTTTGTTTTCAAGTGACCTTGTTTACATTGCACAGTACAGTTGCTTCAGTGAAGCCCCAGTTTTACCGAGGTAGGAGCGGCATAACAGATGTTATTTTTCTACACTGTTTTAGAGGATGTTTTGTCCGTTCATCTCCAGTGCTCTGGTAAATTGCTGTCTACTTCTGTTGTGATTGCCAGTCCACCTATTCAGTGTGATTTGAAGCAGGCCTTCAGTTTTTAGTGGGGGCGGGATGTTGAGGTTTCCATACATGCTGCTCGTGTCTGAGTAGGGACCTTCAGCCTGTCACTGTAAGCCACAGGAGATGCATTCTGACTCATGGACTCAATAAAAACACTTCAATGAAGGGTTTCTTTCATAGTGTTTACTTTCATTTTCTTTACATTTCTCTCATCTTTGAGTTTAGTGACATTCAGCTGCTAATTCTGGTTCTTTAACACTTCTCTGCACATTTACAAAGGTTCCTTTAAAGCAGACGAGGTCGGGGTGTCTGAGGAGGAGAGGAACTCTCCAGGGTGCTGAACACTTTCTCGTAAAAATACTTGACATAATTCTACTTTATAAATACTTTAAGCACCCTTTCCTATAAACATTTAGTCAGGTTTGGGCAGCTTCCTCACACAACTCGAGGTCTTAGTTGAGGATATACAGTGGTGTGAAAAAGTGTTTGCCCCCTTACTGATTTCTTATCTTTTTGCATGTTTGTCACACTGTAATGTTTCAGATCGTCAAACAAATTTATATATTAGTCAAAGATAACACAAGTAAACACATCATGCAGTTTTTAAATGAAGGTTTTTATTATTAAGGGAAAACAAAATCCAAAACTATATAGCCCTGTGTGAACAAGTGTTTGCCCCCCTGTCAAAACACTGGTTTATCGCACCTGAGTTCAATTTCTCTAGCCACACCCAGGCCTGATTACTGCCACACCTGTTCGCAATCAAGAAATCACTTAAATAGGACCTGCCTGACAAAGTGAAGTAGACCAAAAGATCATCAAAAGCTAGACATCATGCCGAGATCCAAAGAAATTCAAAAACAAATGAGAAAGACAATAATGGAGCTCTATCAGTCCGGAAAAGGTTATAAAGCCATTTCTAAAGCTTTGGGACTGCAGCGAACCACAGTGAGAGCCATTATCCACAAATGGCGAAAACATGGAACAGTGGAGAACCTTCCCAGGAGTGGCCGGCCGACCAAAATTACCCCAAGAGCGCAGCGACAACTCATCCAAGAGGTCACAAAAGACCCCACAACAACATCCAAAGAACTGCAGGCCTCACTTGCCTCAGTTAAGGTGAGTGTTCATGACTCCACCATAAGAAAGAGACTGGGCAAAAATGGTTTGCATGGCAGAGTTCCAAGACGAAAACCACTGCTGAGCAAAAAGAACATAAAGGCTCGTCTCAGTTTTGCCAGAAAACATCTTGATGATCCCCAAGACTTTTGGGATAATACTCTGTGGACAGACGAGACAAAAGTTGAACTTTTTGGAAGGTGTGTGTCCCATTATGTGTGGCGTAAAAGTAACACCGCATTTCAGAAAAAGAACATCATACCAACAGTAAAATATGGTGGTGGTAGTGTGATGGTCTGGGGCTGTTTTGCTGCTTCAGGCCCTGGAAGACATGCTGTGATAAGTGGAACCATGAATTCTGCTGTGTACCAAAATATCCTGAAGGAGAATGTCCGGCCATCCGTTTGTGACCTCAAGCTGAAGCGAACTTGGGTTCTGCAGCAGGACAATGATCCAAAGCACACCAGCAAGTCCACTTCTGAATGGCTGAAGAAAAACAACATGAAGACTTTGGAGTGGCCTAGTCAAAGTCCTGACCTGAATCCAATTGAGATGCTGTGGCATGACCTTAAAAAGGCAGTTCATGCCCGAAAACCTTCCAATGTGGCTGACTTACAACAATTCTGCCAAGATGAGTGGGCCAAAATTCCTCCACAGCGCTGTGGCAGACTCATGGCAAGTTATCGAAAACGCTTGATTGCAGTTGTTGCTGCTAAGGGTGGCCCAACCAGTTATTAGGTTTAGGGGGCAAACACTTATTCACACAGGGCTTTGTAGTTTTGGATTTTGTTTTCCCTTAATAATAAAAACCTTCATTTAAAAACTGCATGATGTGTTTACTTGTGTTATCTTTGACTAATATATAAATTTGTTTGACGATCTGAAACATTACAGTGTGACAAACATGCAAAAAGATAAGAAATCAGTAAGGGGGCAAACACTTTTTCACACCACTGTAAGCCTGAGGCAAGCACAAAACACTGGGGAAACGAAAGAACTGGCCAAAATAGGAGAAGTTTAAATCTTTAATTGATTTCCAAGAGCTCACCTGCCCAGAAAACCTAGACTATTTATTCAATTTATTTTTCAGTTCTATTTATATAGTGCCAACAAATACTTCACGTTACTGCCAAGGTGGTTCAAACCTTACCTCTACCGACTGGCAGACTGTGGATTTCATTGCTTCCACATGCAACTGTTTGATGGTTTATACGCTTAAAAACGCTCAATAACTCAACTGTTCAGTTCGTCTTAGATTAGTTCTGTATTGTGTGGGAGCCTGTCCAGCTTGCCCAGGAACTAACTGCGTGGCTATATTTGCTGGTTTTGCCTGCCAGAAACTACAGAGCATACTAGATATAGATGGCTCCAGCTTTTGTAGCAAAATGGCCTTCACTTATTTAAATGTCAAATAAATGTTTAAGCACATATAAAGACTGTTTCACTAGAAACTGCCTCAGTGGGAATGAAGAAGATAAAGAGAAAGAATGCAACTTTTGGAAAGATTGTACAAAAAAAGTTGTTTTGTTTTTTTAAACTGTTCATTCTACATTCTGGTGCAATCCTGTTTAGTTCAATAATAGCTCTTGATGTGAAGGCTTCAAGTAAAATTATCGGCATTGAAAACATCTGCTGCGTAATTACATTGTCAGCTCCCGGTGAGGAGAGATGATAGCGGACGCCTGCTGTTCCTTCTTTCTGCTCCCTCTAAGCCCATACTTTCAGATTGGCTTCTTCTTAAATTGTTTAAAATTAATTAAAGAGTTATATTGAAATCTGTGGGTTATTGCATTCATGAAGCATCTGAGTCGGGGCCTGTCGTTCACCCTGAACCTGTAGACAAAATATACATCTGGCAAATATGCTTTTCACTCA